CATATGGAATTGCCCTATTTAAATATCGCACGTTATGATTCTTATTTACGCTATTTAAATATCGTACGTTATGATTCTTATTTACGAGATTTAAAAATCTAATATCGCGTTTCGTATTTATGCATTTACAAAATCGCGATTTTATTATCAAACATCGATTTTTATATTTACCTTATGTAAAAGTGGAACGTTGCGGTTCTTATTCAGGCGATTTAAATATCGTACATCGCGATTCTTATCTACAAGGTTTAAAAATCCAATAACGGGATTTGTATTTACGCTCTTTTAAAACTCTATGTAGCGATTCGTATTCACACGAGCTTAAATCCAATGTAGTGGTTCGTTTTTGAGGTTGCAATATCAAATACTTATCTTCGTATTTATATGTGCTTTAAAAATTAGACATTGGGATTCGTATTCGCATGATTTCGAAATTATGCATCGTGGTTCGTATTTACGTAATCTAAAAATTACCTGTCATGATTTGTATTTTCACATTTTAAATTCGATATAGAGTTTCATATTCACGTGATTTAAAAGCCTCATATCAGGATTCATTTTCATATTTAAAATCGTGCATTTGATTCATATTCATATATTCATACAATTTTAAAATTAATTATCGAGATTTATATTCACATGGTTTACAAGTTTAAAAATCGCACTTTTTCTGTCAAATTTTTGGATATATATATATAATACAGTGTAAAGTCGCGCATCCGGAATCGATGGGACTTCCAGAAGTCCGTATAATAGATTTTTCCGTATAATAGACCCCCTGGGTAAACAAAGCTTAAAATGATCTAATAAACGATCTGAATCTGAGCAAAAAATAAATAAACATTATTTTTAAGGGGTTCCTGGTATTAGAATATCTAATCAATCAAATATAAAATATGTATTAGAAAAAAATATTGCTGAAAATTTTGAAAACTAAAAAAATTTGACAGTTATGAAAATATTAATCCGCCATTTTGAACTAGAACAATTCAAACAGGAAGGGGAAATTCACGTCATTCTGGAACAAAGCTTAAAATGATCTAAATCTAAGAAGCAAAAAATAAATAAACATTATTTTTTATGGGAATAATGTCTTAGTATTAGATTATCCAATGAATCAAATATGAAATATTAGAAAAAAAATTATTGCTTAAAATATAGAAAACGAAGGAAAATTGACAGTTATGAAAATAATAATCCGTCATTTTTAACTAGAATGATTCAAGCAAGAAAGGGAAATTCCCGTTATTCATTAAGGTTGAGGAGAAAAATTCATTTCCTCCTTATTTGTGAAAGAAAATAAGTGTAAAGAGTAGATCATTCAAGTTGAGGGCAGGGAAGTGACAAATTATTGTTTTCTCTCCAATCATTGACTATCAATCAAGCATAAAGGCGGGGCACGCTGATGGGGTTCTCTTTATTTTTTCTTGTATGACTGAAAGAATCTACTAAAGAAAGAATGTTACCCCCTTTTTTTCCCCCGCCTCCTAAATATTATATGGTCAGGGGAAGAACTAATGTTTCTCAAGGACGTGCATCCTTTTAGACCTATTCAAATTTTCCATTTTGATTCACCCTCCACGTTAACGCTTGCTGCGTTTACCCTTTTCTTGGTTCCAGGAAGTGCCTCTTTCACTAGCCAGCTGCATAGGAAAGGAGGGGGGACTCAATTACGGTCTTTTGAAAACAAATCTCCCTCTTTCCCTGCATTCCGAAGTAGGAGCGTCACTAACGGTAACTCAATGGTCTTGGTAGATCTTCTGTTCTCCTTTGTGATTTATAGGTTCAATGCATAACTCAAGGGCTCAGTGCAAGCTAGAAGAGAAAACGTGTCAAAAGACCTTTTTTCTTTTTTAAAGAAAGGGGAAGATGAAGAGCTGCTTGTTTATTTTGATTGTTAAAAAGTGTCCGGGAAATCAATCTTTCCGGAAAAGGGACGTCCGGATAACCGGATATGGGACGTTACACTGTATATACATTCTTGGATTTCCTCTTTTTTACTTTCTGACTACTCTCATCCCTGATCAATTATCTAAGTGGTTTATAAATTGCTGCTCGTGAGCCAAATATGACTCGTAAGCAACCTTGGTCACTAATTGGTTTCAATTATTAGGTGCAAGCAGCATTATCCATTTATCAGGTTCTTTAATGCTTGTTCTTTTTTGACGTTTTCCGCTTGGGTGTAGTCACTTTTCTCATTCTTAAATTTTTTTAATATGTTAGCAATTATACATCAATGACTTTTCAAATAAAGTACTTTTATTTTACGGAGTAAAATATCTGAAAGCGTCATTTAGTAAAAAAGTGATGACTTGTGTAATGTGGGAATCAATTTAGTATAATAAATTGTTTTCTTATTTTTTTATTACTTAGAAGTGATACTTAATTTAAATTTTAAAATAGTCATCTTTTTAGTATTGTTACAGATCAAAATTTTAAATTTTATTTAACTTTAATTTTCTTGTTCTTTAATATGCTAAAAAGTTATCAGGAAAAAAAATTAAATGAGCGCAAATTAATTCTTAATTATTGTTTCGTTGTAATTCTATACATAATAGCATAAAAATATTGCATTAGGTGAAAATTTTATCAGCTCAGTATTTTTTTGTTATTAAATTTATTTAACTCAAGCTATTACTTGTTTGTGAATTTTTTTAATTTTTTTGTGGTTTTTAGTATTTTTAGAAGTATACAAATTACACTTTTCCTTTTGTTAATTACAGTGAAAACTATTTTCAATGTCTCTAAATTTATTAATTAATAAATAAGGGCACATGTTATAGTTAAAGGATTTACCAAAAGCCAGTAATGAGTAGTAAATGTTTTTTTAATGTTCTGTACAATGAAATTTGGCTCTCAAAAAATCAATAATTGTCCTGCTGAGTGTTAGCTCTTTTGATTAGGGAATTTGCTGAACTATATTATCTTATTAAAATCAAATGACAGGTAAGTAATACAGCACTTAACATCTGTGAATATCATCCAAATCTAATATTTCAATGTAATTCAATAATTGCCGAACGGTAAAGTAGCGTGAGTAGCATTTTTTATTCTATAACAAATGTTAAGATATTTCTTCACTTGAAATAAACCTCATTTAGTGAATTCTGACTAAGAATTTTTCACACATTCATTTAGAGCATTCTTCCAACTTACATGTAATATGAGAGCAATAGAATGTGCTATGACTAATTAATATTCATCTGCTTCTTATCAGCTGTTGTCAAAAAGATACCTGGCTATTAACAAAGAAGCATAATAAAAAGAGGGATTAGCTTTCTCATACAAAGAGATATGTAAGGGGGTTATGTTTTTATTTTGTTAGTCCAATAATGCCAAGTCACCCATTTTGGGATCTCATATAAACAACTCTGAAACCTCTTTAAAATAATTTTCTTGCCCCTCTTTTTATTATGATTTGCAAACAGAACTTTTATTATCCATAGGCAAAGTTTATAAATGGCCTTATATAAAGTATTTATATTAAAGATTTTAAAAATAGGAATTACATTATTATAAACTTTTTGAAAAAAAATTTCAACAATGCTTTAAATGTTTAATATTTGTTGAAAATTATTAAATTATACAGATATCTATTATCATTATTTACTAAAAAAAACTTTATTCTTTATTCCCAAAAAGGTGACTTGGCACAAAATGGGTTTAATACAATCCTAAATAAGTTCAACTTGCTATTGTATTATTTATTTGAGAACAGGATTTCTACCCTCCTGTACTAACTTGGAAAATTTTGTTAGATATAATTGCAACCATAAAATACATGTTAATTGTTTCCCTCCAAATTTTAGTGAAAATCTTCTATTTCTGGATGATCCAAAAAATCAGTTTTGACAATGCATAAATACTAGTGAATGTAATCTTACGATAAAAAAAAATTTATATAACATAATGAGATTAAATTATAAAACAGATCAAATATATTTTAAATAACATTTACTTTAATCTTGTTCTTGAAAAAGTTGTGATGCAAGAGAATATAAAGAAAAATATAAGCTAGTTAAAAAAAAAATTCTGATTTTAAATATTTAAAATACATTTTTCGAAATATTAAGCTGAAAAATCAGCAAAGGAATCATCAAAAAGTATGTCTAAACATTCAGTATAAAGATTTTCATTGTCCCCAAAAGCCAGGTTTACTTTTAAAAGTAGTGAATGTTTATTCCATCTAGTTCATTAGATGTTATACATCGTGAAAATGCATTATAATTTTTTTGCAAATTATATTCCTAATCACATTTTATATGGATGTTCTCTTCAAATTTCTAACTATTAAAAGGGAGTTATAAGTTTTCTTAAACTGATAAATCAGTATAAGTACTTACCCAATTTGTAGTAAATTTTTTCTGTAGGCTTTTAATGTTATTAAGTTTTACGTGGTTAAAAAAATTCTTATAAGTTAAAAATGTTTTTACTCTTTATTAATTTAAATTATAATATTTAATTGTTACAAATTATTGTTCTGCATTGAATTATCTTTGTAGTTTGTGGTCTGTCTTAAAATGAAATGCAGCATTTTCCATCCATGCAATTAATTTTAGAAACATGATTGAAAAAGAAAAAAAAATTAAAATATTATTAAGGTACTGAAACATTTCCCTGCTTCCCTGACTTAACTGTTAGACCCACATTATTCAAGTTGTGGTTGTCCCTTATATTTTGATGGTTCAGAATCTGATTTCCTTGTGGGTGAAAACATACATTTTATTAGAGAAAATACTTTTTGTGTCTGATTTTTTTAAACAAGATTCTCAAATTGAGTAACATAACTAATTAGCTACAGAGTTATTCTCTGACCTACATTTTTTATAAGTAGCTACATTTTATTTACAAAACAAATGAGATAAATTTTTATCTTGTAACTAACTAGTAAAATTGTAAATGTTTTATTTTTTAAAAAAAACTTTATTAGCAGGATCTTATTTAAATTTTTTTACTTTTACAGTTAAGTAGTTTTTAATTGCTTCATGTTTCATTTTCAGAAAATTTACTTAACTCTACTGATCACAATGGATTTCCCGTTGTTGTATCGTCTGAAAGTATGTACTTAGTGGGCTTTGTATTACGCCGAGATTTAAGTCTTGCTCTTGGTAAGTATAATTTGTTATAATTTATTTGTAAGGTACATTATTTACAGTTTATTATATACTATATGAGTCAAGTATTTTCCTGATGATAATAACTGTTTATCCTAAATTATCTTAAATAAAGATTAATTTAATTGCGATTATTTATTTTGTTTTATTTTAATCACAAATACTTCTTAGTACAATTTTATATGGCTCTTTCATTTATCTTAGCAAATGCCAAAAGAACACAAGAAGGTGTTGTTAGAAATTCTGTAGTCATCTTTACTTCTCATATCCCAACTCCTTGGCATGGTCCACCTCCTGTAAAGCTCAGAAAAATTTTAGATCTGGTAAAATTTTTTACTTTTCATTTGAATTTTTGTACATTAAAAACGCTGCTCAATGCACATTTGATTGAATAAAGAACAGTTCCCCGCTTGTGAAAGATAAAAGTTGTTGTGCAGTTAGTGGATTATTGTATTTGTTCTACTGTAATACTGTCATTGTTCAAAATTTTTGTTTTACAATCTGTGCACATTTCAAACGTATAAGTTTCAAACAACAGCTTTATTATGAAATTAGATAGAACATTAATTTCAATTGAGCTTTTTTAGTTTTGTAGTTAAATATTTAGAATCTGTTGTTAAAAACATATTTGTACCTTTAATCTAATAAAGTTTAAATAAATAAAAAAACCTTAGCTATACGAAACATTTTAGAATTGTTGCGTTTGAACTTTTAGAAAATTTTGGAATTTGTTATGCAGTTAAAGTTATCATAATTTTCAATCATTTAATTTATGTGGGTGCAGAGCTTGTTCACTTCCGCTCTGTGACGTGACATCCAGTAATTGCTACACATTTATTTATTTTTTTGCTTTGAGAACAAAATTCATCTCAATTACTTAATGCATTCGATTAAGATTCTTTTCTGTTTCATAAACTTGTTGGCAGCATTTAAATTAATTACTGTGTCACAATGCTTTATTTCTATTCCTATCATTTTCAACTAAGTTTTATATAAACTCTTAATAACAAATTTTGGTAAGTGCTAATTACATAAATTAGAAGCTCTTAGTTCATCAAAAACAGTATTAAATGCAATTTATTATTGTACAGTGCACAAAAAAAAATGGACCACCCTGAATACTTTTTGATCTAATAATTAGATCTTTATGTTCTAGGACTCAATCTTCATGATTCGAGGGGGTGACCTCAAATATGCTAATTAATTCGTAAAAACGTTATTTTAAGTTACAAAATCAGACACAGAAAAGTACTTTCATTGAATAAGCATACCTTTTTTGATGGATTCGGATTTCTGACCTTCAAAATTCCGCAGTCTGGGAATTATGGTCCCCATAGTTTGGTCTGGAGAACCATCTAAAGTTTGGACTCCTTAAAGTTAATCTTACTTTTTGCGTATTTTGCTATATCATGAAAAAACATTTGCGCACAATTATACAATTCATTGATATAATCAATTTCACTGAAATTTTGTATTTTGCCATGTAAAATTATATTCTTTAAAATGATGTAAAACATTCTATAGCTTATAATTCAGAATTTTTTGACCAGTATTTAAACAAAATGATATAAAATGGTAAATATTTACCAAAAATTATTTTTTGTATGAAATTATCTTTGGCTAAACAAATTTTATAATTGTGTAAAAATATTTTTCAATTCGTTTAAAAAAAATTTGAGATATGGCAAAATACACAAAAAATTTAATTAACATTAGAGGGTCCATATTTCCCAGATTGCGGCTACCCCCTTTATTTTGGAGGTCAGAAATCCATCAAGAAAAAGGTATGTTTATTCAGAGAAAATACGTTTTTCTATGTGATTTCGTAGCTTAAAATATCGTCTGTACTAATTAATTAGCATATTTGTGGTAACCCCCAGAATCATTAAGAATGTGTCCTAGAACATGAAGATCCGATCATTAGATCAAAACTTATCAATGGTGGTCTGTTTATTATTTTGTGCACTGTTCATTAGCAACTGTTACCAATAAACGTGTGGAAGAGTCTGACTCAATTCATTGACAATCTTCGAATATTTTTTTTCATCATAAGATTTAACCAACAACTCTAACTTTACAAAATATTTGTTATGTTGAATTAAGGGACCATCAACAAATTGCATCAAAGTGGTGAAGTTTCTTATTTAATCCGATCAATTTTGTTTGCGTAATGTTATAAAGAAAAAACATCTTTATTAGATAAGCTTATCTATCATAAAATGTTATTGGTGAGATGTGCGGTCATATACTTATATACTTTTTTTAGAATAAGAACTCAAATCTTGTATGTTAGAGAGTTAGTTATTCCAAGAAATTTAAATTTTTCAATTTTGAATCTCTTCAGTTTATTTAAAATTTAATTATAATTTAGTAATTTTTTTTAAATAATTGGGTGCATTTTAAAATAGTGGAACAATTTAACTAAAAATTATAAGTTCTGAGTAAACAATGTTAATCAAATTAAAAATTTTTAAGCAAAATATTCAATCTTTTGATTTTTTTTAGAAAAAAATTATTGTAATTGAGAATTAAAAAGTAAGGACATTTTGAATCAACTATGGAAAAGTTATGTAACTTAAAGGGAAACTACTGAATGGATTAAAAAAACTCTTTAATCTTAATTTATATTATTTTAGTATAATACCTCTTTTAAATTATAATTTTTATTTTAGTTTAATTCGAAAGTCATGCTTCTAAAGTTTTAAGTTTCTGTGCAGGTTCAGCTTTTGATGGCATATCAGAGAAACCTTATTATAATTATGTTTATTTTTTGTCTCATTTAATGCTTTTTACTTGGCATTTTTACTGGTGACTATTCTTTGCGAAGAAGGTAGATTATACAGTCTGGGCTTATGTTTGATTTATATGAATTTTCTATGTGTTATATGAAAATAAGTATTAAAATTTTTTTATTCTTTTTCAGGCTCCTATCACAATAACAGACCAAACTCCAATGGAAACAGTAATAGATATGTTTCGCAAACTAGGTTTGAGGCAAACTCTTGTTATTCATAATGGGTGAGATTTAGTTTTTGAATATTTCTTCGATAATTATCAGTCAACTTTTCCCATTTTTATGGGACATTTTTCTTGCATTTATTTATAGTAGTATGAAATTTTATGCTCTATATCTTTTTTATTTTTTTAATATAATAAATTTGAGTTTCAATAATTTTGACCAAAATTATACATAAACAATTAAAGGAAATGTATATGCAGTGAAGCAGAGCGATGAAGTTCTTAAGGATTGGAAAAACTCTACACTCTACATTTTGTAAACAGCTGAGACTTCCAGGTTGGCATCCATGCTATTTCTCACAAAAGATTTTGTTTATAGAAATGACATACAGTACTGCCACAAAATATCTCCAGTTGTCGACACATCATAGAATAGATTCTCCATTATGCCAGAGATTTTCGTGGTTATTATTTTATGATTTTCAAATTAGATTAATTTACAAATATTCTCCTTGTATTGTTAAAGCAGGTCATTGAAATTTGTGTTGAAAATGCTATGTTTTCAAATTAAACATACTGCTAAATTTTACAAGAAACAACAAATGACATTTCAGCCATAATTTGATTCATCACATGCCCAATTTTGTAAAATACTGGGTCAGACTCATGATGAAAGGATAAATTATTGAAACTTTACTTTCATTAAAGAAATTACAAAAACGCTGTTGCGTAATTATATAAAAAGATAAATCACTGTAAACATTAAAATTATTTCAAATGAGTCATGTCTGCTAAAAAGCATTTTTTTGTGTCTGTTTGTCAGATCTTAACAGTGAAAGATTCGATAAGAGATATTTGTTCACTAGTATGGTTTTCTAACATTCTCCTCTTGTTAGTTTTGATGTGGAAGGAAACTCAACAAAATTTGACTGATAAGAGGTTCTGTGTAGTATTTCAGAATATTACACAGTATTATTGGACCAATTAAGGGATGAAATCAAAAAGAAATGGCTCCAGATGGCAAATAAAGAGGTTTTTTTCTCAACTATTTTAATACCTTCCTTTCTTATAGAATGACTTGCAGAGTCTGCAGAAATAAATATGGATGAAATTTGTTTTACTATTATAAAGCCTTGATGAGGTATAATGAATCTTTCAACTACAGCGAAAAGTCCCATATCCAAAATGGCCAGGACTTCCACTAGTCAGGAAAATAGATTTTTACGATTAATAGGTCTTAGTGTTGAACAAAAATAAAACTATCGTTTTCCAATTAAAAAAACGGATGATAATTAGCATCAATTTAATACAACGAAGTTTTCTTATAAGTTGAATGGCATTTAACAAACTAAAGAATGTTTAGTATAATGAAATATGTGTATTATTAAAAATAAATAAAAGGGAGCAGACAATAATTGGAACTTTCTCTTCAAATAAAGATTATCTTTTTTCCCCTTCGTACTGATTATTGTTCCACTCCCACAAGTAATCAGATAAAAATGACATTTAAAGACAAACCTCAAATTCTCAAAGTAAATTAATCTGATTTCATAAAAAAAGTATCTAAAACAAGGAACAGAATTAAGATCTTTTAATGACAATGTCTATAACTTAAAACGAATTAAATCTTGTCTGGTGGTGTTCTTTTCGAATACTATTAATATTCAACTTCATTAATATTCAGTTTTTTTCTTCCTCTAAGTACTACTCTTGTCTTTTAGACATCTCTTTTAACATGCTTATTGATACTAAATGAATGATTAGATGTAAGAGAGGCGGCAAAAAGAAATAATTTTTTCTTCTTTTTTTTTACTAACGCTTTTTATTGTAACAGTTCACAAGCATTTAAGGAAGAAACATTTTATAAAGAAAAGAATTTTTTTTATTTTTAAAAAGTGTAAGAAAAATAGACTGTCTATTGGTAAACAGACATCTGGGTATTCGAGTTTGTTCTGTATATATAATGTCATTCACACTTGTTATTGTGTCTTGTAAGTGTTTCTACTGAGAAGTTAAAATGAATTTTTAAAAAATTAAAATTTATCTTACTTTCTAAGCATTTCACTTATTTACACGCTTCCAAAATGTATTTGATAAAGTTATAAAACAATTTTGATTTCTCATATACTTCTGTTCCCATTTTTGAAAGTCTACAGTAGTAATAAAATTATTTGTCACTTTGAAACTATTTTGTGTTAAAATTAACTATTTTTTATATATATTTGTGATTATTTTTATTTTTTTCAGACGACTTCTTGGCATAATTACTAAAAAAGATGTCCTCAGACACATTAAGCAACTAGCTAATCAAGATCCAGAATCTGTGTTATTCAATTGAGTCATTCATTATTGTACAAATTGCATTTAATTTTACCCACGACTTTCAAAATGTGCTTTATTGGCATACTGTTGAACATGAATTATCTATTAATGGGCAGGACCTATTGGAATTAAGTGAATCGACATGCGCTATGCAATTTCTAAGTTTGTTTCTGAAATCTATTTGTGAGGAAAATGAGAAAAAAAATTAAAAATTAGAAATCATCAAAATCAACAAATGTAGTGTCTTTGCTATAATCCTTAGATTATTTTTATTCGTTTTTATTATTCTGCTAGTCTTATTCCTATGAATAAATAAATCTTTATTGCACTGCTTTATTTATTGAAATTTTTATTTATGTGGTTAGTTAGTTGCCCAATGTATCTTAATATGAATGTTCATTGTAAAGATCATTAAGTTCTTGTATCGAAAAGGATTTCCCTTGCCTTCCTTGTCTCATGTATTATAAAATGTTACTCATTGAATATTGCATGTGCTCAGATATATATTATATTTATAAAATTTAAACCAAAGAAAAATGGCATTTTTTCTTTATCTTAAAAACATACTTTTAATGTTATGTGTAAACAACTTCAGTATTTCTAAAAAATATCTTTAATATGGATGTAGAAATATGCTATATTGTTACTGAAATCAAATTGGTTTTTTATTATTAGAAGAGTATACAGGGCTTCATATAAGCAGTATGATACAATCTGTCTACTACCTATTTATTTTTATTCCCATTTTCAAGTGAACATTTAGAAACTTTACTTATATGGAATATTTATGTACAATGTGCAGAAAAATAAATGAAACACCCTGAATAACTTTTGATGTAATAATCGGATTTTCACATACTAGGAGTCAAACCTAATGGTACGAGGGGATGACCTCAAATATGCTAATCAATTTCTGCAGACAATATTTTAAGTTACGAAAGCAAATTGCACTCAAAAGCATACTTTCTCTGAATTAACATACTTTTTTCAACAGATTTGCACTTGTGATCCAAAAAATATAGGGGAAACGACATTCTGGGTAATATGGTCTTAAGAGTATGGGCAGGAGAGTAGTCAAAAGTTTGGACCCCTTATTGTTAATTTTACTTTCTGCGTATTTTGTCATATCTCAGGAATTTTTTAAGCAAACTAGAAAAATATTACTCCCAAATATAAAATTTGCTTATTAAAAATAAATCCATGCAAAAAATAGTTTTTTCCTGGTGTTTATTTTTTTTGTAAGGTATACAGTTTTTTACATCATTTTAAAGAATGTAATTTTTTAAGGCAAAATTCAATATTTGAGCAAAATCGGTCAAATAGTTCCCGAGAAGTAGAATTTTATAATTGTCGCAAATTTAAAATTAGATTTCCTCTAACTTTTTTCTGACTATAATCTGAAACTGTAGACTCTCAGCCACACTTAGATTAATTTTATATATCTATTCACATACATATGTGAGCTGCTTGCTCAGTACAAGGATCAGCTTATAATCCGTTGCCAAATAGAAAGATAACACATAGACATATTGAGGGTTATGGCGAGATACAAACTACCTCCATGCTTTCCCTTGATTTATTTAAGAGGTCAATGTCTCTTGGCTCCGAAAATCTCAACTAATTGCTTGCATGCCTTTCATTTTCAGCTTGCAAAAGGACCTAGGGTGCTCAGTATAGATCCGCTTTTGACTGTTCTAAGTGCTTGTCATCAGGCTGCCTAAGTGGGAGAGCCATCCTCTTTGTAGAGGATGAAAGTTTTGGTGACATGTCTTCGGATCATCCTCAAGGATGTTTCCCATACCGTCTATAATAGCCCAGTGTGCAGCTCTAGTGCAACGTAGATTAACTACTACTACCAATCAGTCAAGTAAATTTAGGGTTTCTGTAGCACTACATTTAGGGCTATGATGAGAATTGAACTCGCTATCTCCTCGCTTCAGAGCATTTGTCAAAATGGCAGTATTTTTCGGCTAGAGAAGCCTCTTACTTTTCAAATGAATTCTCTTTTAGCTTCCCTTCATCACTTGTATGATGCATGATGGTTAGTAAAAACATTTAAACCCATCTAAAATTAATCTGGTGTTTTTTTATTAGGGTTAGGCTGAAATTTTGGACCAATTTTTGCCTAACGTGCTGATTAAAAAGCAACGCATAGTTTAGCCTAAAATGGCTGTCTGAGAATTCAGCTAAAGTATTATTTTATTACTTTTTAAATGAAAAATTAGGCAGTGTGAGTCTTTAATTGCCATGTTAAAAATAGGAGAATGTAGCAAAAACTGTTGTGGCACTGGTAGTAGCAGGAGGCCTAGAAAAGCAATGGAGAATTGCTTTTCTGAACTATTCTGGCTGGAGTGGTTTGTCTTCTATAATGTCTCTAGGTAAAGATTATAATTATGACCTAGTAAGTATTATAGCTGTTTAACATATTAAGGTATAGCTTAAGAACCAGTCATGCTGCATGTGAAAAAATAGTGTATGCGAATTTGTAGTTGCAAACAAGGACCAGATCAGTGAGTTATTCACAGATAAAAAAATTTCACCAATCAAGTTTTTGTCTGATTTTTTTTTCCTGCAGTGAGAATGATATTTAAATCTAACTTAGTGGCGAGACAAAGCATTAGGTAATGTGTGCACAGCTTGGACGAGCTTAGGGTAGTCAAAATTGGCAAGTAAGATTAATGTTTAGTTAAAGTTTAGGATCCTTCTCAAAGAATGCGATATTTTTCGCATGTGAATGAAAACCAGATTGGTGAAAAACTCACCCAATCAGTTAACCATTTAAATGCAAAAAAAAAAAAAATTTGCATCTGGTGAGAATGGCCGTTTATGTAGAAAGAGTTTGAATAAAAAAACTGATTAGGATTGAAGATGCAATGAGTTTTTCTGCTTAAAACGCTTATCGCTGGGCAAAAAGTTTAAAAGTTAACCATTTAGACAATTTTAAAAAATGACTCAGCTCGATAGAAAACTCTTTATTGGCCCTAGGACAATGGTTAAAAATATAGAAACATAAAATCTTTAAAAAATCACATTTCATAAAATCTCTGAACATAAGAATATGTTCATATAGAATGTTTTAAGTTATTTACATAAATATACTTTCACATACAAAACAAGAAGTTCGTTATTGCACAGTTATATGTAAAAAAGTTTTTTTTAAAAATTGCAGAACTCAAGTGACCTTTTTTTCAAGGAATTTTAAGTGCACTTTGTTTTCAAATTTAAAGAAAATTTCTCACTTAATCGCTTCGGTGGTTTGTTAGTAATGCAATATTTCTTCGATTTTGAAACAGTGTTTCATAATTATAAATGACTTTGTCTTCGTCTTTCGGTTAAACTATTTTTTGTTTCATAAATTTGTAAGCTTATGTCATCAGGATCAAATGCTTTGTTTCCATAACTGGTATCAATACCACCATTAGGCTTAGCAAAAACTCTTCTTAAATCGTTATTCTTTGGCCGACCATTTTTATTTCGAGCATTGAAATCATTCTTAGCACCAAGTGTTTCCATTCTACTATTATTGCCAAGGAGGTGATTACGCCGTAGTTCGAGTGCACGGATCGTTTCTCGACTACGACCAATCTTGTTAAGACCATTCAGAACCGGAGTAGCTGCAAAAGAGTGTTCAAAATTTACTAAAACTCAGTGTTTATATGGGTCATTCTCACGAAAACTGTCATTTTTCAGTTCATAAAATCCCAAAAAAGTAAAGTGAATAAAAAGCTCTGAAACTTTTTATATTAATAGAAATATGTAATGGCATTATAAAGAAAGTATATATCCTATAAATTATACTTAATATTTAAATTAATTAATTTTTTAAATAATTAATTTATAATTAATTAATTTATAATAATTAATAATTAATTAATTAATTTAATAAATAAATTAATTAATTTAATAAATTAATTTATTAATTTTTTAATTTATTTTTCAAATTAATTAATAAGTAAATTAATTATTTTCACTATTTAAAAAGTGAGGGAATGACACTAATAGTGAGGGAATGATATTTTATTTTAATACATGTTTTTATCTAAGTTACATCTACCTAAAGTTTGAAAATGATAACATACTAAGTATATCTAATATTTATTATAATTTAGTCTTATATATTTAATAGTTTTTACAGGTTTGGGAAATAAAATTGGCTGGCACGATTGAACAAAAAAAAATTTAATAATATACTCATCTTGAATCATTCCCTCACTTCAGCGTCATTCCCTCACTTTATACACTAGTGAGGGAATGACGAATTCAATAAAATTTAAAAATAACAGTTAGGCCTAATTAATTTCTGAAGTCAATCACATACAATTATATTCATACAAGAAAGCAACATATAATTATCCACTTTCTCGATGAAGTTGTATTTTATTTTACTCTAAAAAATGACATGAGGGAATGACAAATGTAAAAAATTTTACCTGGTTTGATTCATTCAAATTTATTCCACAGCAAAGCTTCTTTAAGTTGAAGATGGAAACATACTGCAATTTTGTTCTATGATGCCAGTTGTTAACTTCTGAAGTTTTTATTAAAATATTTTTATTCTAAGAAGATTGCAGGTGATAAGAACATTGTTGTGAGGGAATGACGCGAAACACTGGGGACAAAGTTTAAAATAGTGCTGTGTTAATATTTTTATCAGAAATTAAATTTAAAATTTATTTTCTGAATTCTATATTTCAATATTCTCAAATAAAAAACACAAATTTGTAAAAAAAAATTTTTTATTTCAGAAACAATTTTTTTCTTTTTTTAAATCAGCAGTGGGGACAAGTGAGGGAATGACATATTGGTATATTTTTATTACCTAAAATTAATAAAAAATAAAAATTGATAATTTTATTTTTATTCTTTTGTTAGCTTGCATTCTGAAGGACACTTTCCCTGAAAATTTTTTTTCGTAAGTTGTAAAACAAACATAAAATATACTGGGGACATGAAAATGACTGTTTTTGTGAGAATGACCCATATAAATATGAATTGCAAGAATTAGTAAATATGCAATTACAAATGTAAATTTCCAATTAAATACGAATTTCAAAAAAACTTTCCTCTGAATATTATTTTTCAACGAATGTGGATTTCTAATCACCAAAATATGTTCAGTAGCCTTAATCTGGAAACACTGACTTAATAGCTTAGTTGAGATAAGGTTCTGAAGTTTGGATACTTTAAAGTTATTTTTCACATTAAGAGTATTTCGCCATACCTCAGGAACTTTATAACAGTTTTGCACACAATTATGAAATTAGTTTTTCCAAAGAGGAAAGAAATTTCAAAGTTAACAGCGCATAAGCTGCAAGTGCATAGAATTTATAACAATTACACAAAGAAAACAAGAAAGGACAAATAAAGGAGAGAGAAAAAAAATATTTGAACAATCTTTTTAGCAGGAATTAAAGTAAATCTTTTTTATATAAAAAAATAGCTAAAAATTAAATGCAGACGGATTAACAACTGAAAAATATCACTTTTTTGACCCACATAATTATATCCGCAAAATTTTAATATATTAACAATATTTTTCCCACTACATTCTAATAAGTTTTACTTTCATATTTTGTAATCTGGCAGCTTAGTTATGGAAATATATTTTAAATAATTTTTGTAAAGTTATTGTAAACTCATGACATCTTTACCCATTCTCTAGCAGAAGAGCTGTTCAAAGTTTGGACCCCTTAACGTAAATTTTGCTTTTTGCGAATTTCACAATATCTCGAGAATTTTTTGAGCTAATCAAAAAAAATTTTCACAATTACAAAATTCGTTTATCCAAAGATAATTTCATGCAAACAATTTATAATAATCCCTTATCATTTTTTATTATTTTATTTAATAATGGCCGAAATTTTTTTTAGATTGTACCTCTAAATGTTTTTATTCTTCTATATACAGGGACCCCACCTAACCTTGGGGGACTGGTTTACATTTTTGTCATTGGAAGTTAGGCTTCTTCCCCTTCGTATATTCTTTGCCGACAGCCCCGGCACTGCTCAGGGATCAATCACAGGACTACCGAAAAAATAAATTATGGAAGTTACATTTCTAAATCATCCATTTTGATATGAAATTCTTAATCTTTTTGTTAGCAATATTTTGTTGATTTTAAGGATTTTTTTGGTTTTGGGAAATTTTCCCAAAGAAAGGCTATACACAATTTTTGGTGCACTTACCAATGTGTCCATTTTCTCCATCATGAAGATTCATAAATCTTTTTCTGAATGCTACATCTAATGTACCAATTCTGTCTCGTTGATTTTTTCTTTTTTCTAAGTTCTGAATTGTCTTCCTCTTGGCTAATCTATCTCCATAAATCGATTCATCATCATCTATGCCCCGCAGTCGTTGAAGCTGTCTAGCTATCTGAACGGCATTTTTGTCTATGAATGCATCATCGCTGATATCATCCACCTTTTGGTTCCAACACGACAGTTCTATTGACGCCATGATGTGGGACAACGTACCAAATCGGTGAAATAACATGGCCACAAATTGAATAACAAGAATCAAAGCAAAGAAGACAGCAAACACTAAACCAATTGGTTCAAGCTCCAAATATTCTTTTTCGATATGGACTTCACTAGTTTCAGGATTATAGGTAATGTTGGTTTTAACTCCAAGAGGCCAGTCCAAATGTAATTGATCTTTGTTTAACTGGAGTAAGAATACTATTAAAATAAAAAGAGCATTGAACATGAAAAAAGCAAATACAACTTTGTTCCGTAGTTCCTTGAGCTCTGAAGCTACGCGAGCTTGATGTTCTTTATTTTGTTCAATAGGATATAAATATTTATCAATAAGATCTTTCCAGAATTGGATTTCGGAGGCTGCTAAGTATTCAACTTCTCCACGTTTTAATTCTTTATCTTCTATCCAGTATGGATTAATCAGATCATCTCGCTCTTGCTTAGGTTCTAGAAAGAAAATTAGTATTAACACATAGCAGGTTTTGACTCACTTAAATGGACAACTGACTTGGAAAAATTGGTAGTTCATTTCACAATCAAAAATTTTTGATTGATTTAATGTAGGGTTTAATGGCACAAAGTCCGAATAAGGACATGCTGCGCCAAACAATACGGTATAACAGTTTAAAAGCTAAGGTCAAAGTGCTTATAACACTTTCATTGTACAATTTTTATTAACAAAATGGTACAAATTTATAAAATCAGATGAAAGGTATAAATAAATTTAGATAAAAGGGTATGAATACATTATAAAATACTATGAGGGAATTGATACGATGTTTGCAAACTGAATAAAATTGTAGATGCTTAAAACATTCAAATATTGTTAAAAAGTACCAACAGCACGCAAAAATGTTAGGATAATGAATGCCATTCAATAAATCCTGTATACATAAAATTGAACCCCCAAAAAGGTAAAACGTTGTTGGTTAAAACATGGGCCAATTATTAAAATGTGGTGAATTGTGAGCGGAACATTACAAGTATGGCATTGAGGAGAAGGTTCTTCAACTAGCAAATGAAGGTGTGTTAACCGGGTGTGACCTATTCGCAGACTGCTACCAAAATTTTTGAATGGTATTCTTTCTGATTAATAGGGAATTTTAACGTTAATCTTTTTAAGATCCCTTTGAAGCAGCCCACCTTTTATGTAAAATTTATTGCATTGTAAAATTGCTGTTATTCAGAATCCAATATTAGAAGCGAATAAAAGCTATTTTTCAACGTATAAATTCAAATAGCTTTAATTTTGACACTTAAAATGTATTGTTAATTTTGACATTTTCCAAGACTGGTCTATTTAGAGGAAACAGAATAAAGAGTTGAAACCATATATGGCAACGTTACTTTTAAAAAGTAACGAGTAAAAGAACAAGTATTTTTAAAAAAAATTTGATTTTAAATCTTCTTATTTTAAAAAGTAACGAGTAAAAAGTACAAGTAAAAGTACAAGTACTAAACAAAAAAAGTAACGATTTAAAAGTACATTTTTAGGAAATCGAAAATTCAAAGTAACTTAAAATTTTATTGAATAATATTCTTAT